TCGGACTGGACCACCCTCTTTCTACCTTACAAGTCATCAACTCCAATCTGGCCCAACCGTCCTTTAACCTTGGGCCTATTGAGCCCACCACCAGTATCATACGCTGAAGGAGCCGCCCCTGGACCAGCTTGTCTGTGGGCTACCCCAAGCCCAAATACTTATTGTGGAAAGGCCCCCCTCTACCCACAGAATTAGATGGACCAAGCCCATACACCGGCCCATCATCAACAATCATATTTGATTGAATCTTATCTTCTCTGATATGTCCACGTGGCCTTGCAAGCGTACCAACCCTCTCTTCCCCAGTCGCACTCCGTGTCATGAATCTGACGCGTCTCTTTCCTTGCACCTAAAACTTGAACTTGGAGCTTCGTTCTGTCCATAGCTATACGGTGCTTTCCTCCCCTCATCTCCTCATCCTGACATAGATCGGTACACTTCAGGAAAATCCACGGTGTTGCTTCTTTTGTCAGTACAACCTTAAAGGCCACCCGTTGATCCTCGACGAACACCACCTCTGGAATTACACCGCCGTCGGAGACGAGAAGGACAACTCTATCTCTGGCAGTCGAATTATCTGCCTCCACTTCACTAAATCCACCTCACAGATCGCCTATGGCTTTGAAGAGCTTGAGACACCATAGATGTAAAGGGAGCCCGTACAACACCACTCTTCTTTTTCTGTTCCTCAACCTCACCGCCAAACAACCGACTGCGAAATACCACACATCCATTGACAAACAAGCATCACCCCACGTCCTTTTCCCATACACCAGAGCCCGTCGTGCCTCGGATTTCGATGGAAACCTAAACAGGATCAAACCATCCGGCAAAGATGACACCCTCACCCCATAAGAAACCCTCCAAGTTTTTGATACCCACTCCTCAGTCCTCCCAAGACAACCTACGTCCTTGTTGAATCGTCCAACCAGACACGATTTGAGCATGTCTTCGCAAGCCACCGTACTGTGCACATCAACCCTAAAAACATGCCCCTCTGTGATTCGGAAGGAATTAATATCCTCGTTTGTCATGAGGCAAGGCAAGTTAGCCGTCCAAAGAAATCCATCCAAAGAAATCTGAGCCTCGATCTGTGTGTCTACAGATCAGTGCTCCAAACTTACACCAAATACAAGGCTGCAGCTGACAAGAGACAAAGGAAAAGAGTATTTGAAGAAGGGGACCTGGTTATGGTGTATCTAAGAAAGGAGAGGTTTCCAATGGGAACATACAACAAGCTAAAGGGCAAGAAATATGGTCCGCACCAGATTCTAAAGAAAATCAACGACAACGCCTATGTGATTGATTGACCTGCTGACATGGCCATTTCTTCTACCTTCAATGTGGATGACACACATGAATATTATCCGCCAAATTCGGGTAACTTGAGGACGAGTTCTTTTTACACAAGGGAGACTGATGTAGAACAACTCGCTCACGATTATCTGAGCATACAGGATCATCGCAAATTAGGGAGGCTGAAAAGGTAAGGAGAATAGAAGAAAAAATAAATAAATAAATAAGGAAAAGTCAAAAGGAGATTTGGTGTAGTTGCCACAATAGAAGATATTTTTCTCCATTGCAAGAATTAAGGAGGAATCAGAAAATAAAATAAGAAGATTTGGTGTAGCTGCCAATAATAGACGATATTATTCTCCATTGCTAGATTTAAAGAGGATTCTACTCCATCAAATCTCAGATTTCCCCTTTAATATTATTTAACGCGTGCTTTCTTTTTTTATTTTATTTTTGACTTGCCTATATAAAGGTAAGAGATGTAAGTGTATAGACTTTATCATTATCATTATAATTTCAGTTTCTCTCTCGTGAGTGTGTTCTTTGTGAAATTCAAAGGTTTAACCCTGTTCTTTATTGTTTTCGCTACGTTAGAAACACGGGAAATAGAGTCAGGTATTGATTACCTCAATTATGGGGCAATCCAAGGGTCATGAGTTGCACTCACAAAATGCTATAAAAGGGGTAGAATGTAATCTTGGTGAGACAATCCATGAATAAATAATAATGGCCCTGAACTTTCTTTGCGAGTGATTCACTAGATATGAGGGCGTGAGGCCTTCCCTGGGTGTGATGCCTAGACTTATTGGTTTGATTCCTATAGGTTTTTGTTATTCTCAAATCCATTATCTATACTAACACATCTGGAACTATAATATGTTTCTCTGACTTCCAGCCCAAAATTCTTATTTGTTTTCAACTATCTGAGGTTGTACTTGTCCTACATCACCTAATCTTGCACCATTCCAGGTTGCCAAACACCTCTCGATTCCACTTCTTGACATCCTCCTTCAGCAGCTAAAGTTTGTTAGCTAAAGTAAACACGGGCTTCCACTCGCAACATAACCATCCCACTAGTTCTTTACCTTCACCTTAAAATCATCCACTCTAAGCCACATGTTCTAAAATCTGAAAGGGGTTTTTCCTCCAAAGCCCACCACAATCCAACAGGACCATAATATGATCCAAACTGGTCTAGCCAAAGTCATCTGAACAACATCTGAAAACTTCTTTTTCCAGAGATAAAGAATCTGTCCAACCATGATAACATAGGAGCCTGCGTATCACTTCATCAGGTGAAGGAAGCACTCTCCACCGATAAATCAAAGAACTGCCACCCATCTATAAAATCACAGAATTCCTTTATGGCCGAACTCCACCTCCCTCCAGAAGATCTCTTGTGTTACAATCTAACCACATTAAAGTCCCCTCCCACACACCACGGGAGCTCCCATCTCCTCTGAGCGAACCTAAATTCCTCCCACAAAGAACCCCTTTCTGCGTCCTCAAGGAGACTATACACCCCAGAAAAGATCCAATGCAAGCCATCCTCCTCTTTTTTTTTACAAGTCAATGTCAGCAATCCTCCAAAGAGAATATGCACGAAAGTGATAACCTCTCCTTCCAAACATCCACCTTCAAGACCAATCCCCTATCCCAAAAAATAAAAATACCCTCACCCAAGCTTATAGCATCAAGAGCCACCCAGTCTACAAAGCGCCCACCCTAAAGACTCTTCACAATCCCATTAGAGGAAGTAACCAATTTAGATTCCTACAAATACACCAACCAGCTGAGCGCCCCACATTCACAATGCAAGTTTACCACCCTCCTCTTGTCCAGGTCATTAAGACCCCAACATTCCACGACACAACTCAAAGCTTCATGCGCACACTGCACACTACCTTTGCTCAACCCCTACCTCCCTCCTCTACCCTTGTTCTTCTCCATCCCACTCCTACCATCGAAATTCACATAGGAAATTATGTTTCAAAGTTCCCTCTTCTTCCTTCTTGACAGTGTCCATTCATTATCAATGGAATGGAATAGTATTGGGCCCAGAATGATTTGGTTTTCTTCATATGGAACATCTGTCATCCCCTCCCCACTGGCCCTGAACGGAGAGTCATCAGGAGGGTGTACTATAGCCTTCCTCGAAAGCCGACTCCACTGTCCTCGCGGCTGATTCCTCTTGAGATCTCTTCATCCCCTCCATTCCACCAACAATGCAGTGGCAGAATCCTTCCTCGGCGTTAATTGTATACCCTTTCCAACACACAAGGTAATTGCCCCCTCAAACTTACCTCCCGACAACCCACCAACTTTCATCGTGGTGTTCGTCTCTTTCTGAACACTGCCCAACAGCCCCCCATCTCTCTAGCAACCCTGCAGTGCACATCCATACCACCCTCAGCCTCTGGAAAGGTTCTCCACCTTTGGCAACTACTCCCCAATTCCCCCAGTGATTCCAGAGTAGAAAAAGGAAAATGGAAGAGTTGGGCTTGGATGAACTTTTACTCACCTTTAGAATAGATCCGTTTTGAGAATTGGGCTGCTTGGTGGGTCAATTCTCCTTAGCCCTAGTCCACTTCCTTCTTTGAGTCTGTCTGATTTTGATTAATTTGTTTAGTTTGGGCCTGGCCAATCTGGACTGATGTATGGGAATACTTATGGGTGTTAATAATGTTGTGTGAGATCTTAAAAATTCTATTCAGGGTAATCCACAGATCATTAGTGATTGTATCAAAAATCTCATGCAACAAGTTCTCTTGAATGCAATTCAATGTTTTATCAATTGATAAAATGTTCTTCCATACTTCCCCGGTTTTCCTTTAAAAAGTCAAAGTTCCAACATGATTGAAGTAATATAAGTCTTTACCTTGGTAAGGCAATTGTTTTTCTCTCTGTGTTTTCCACCAAATTTTTACCACTAAACCACTAAAAGGCCTTGTGTCTATTGTTCAAAGTACTTTCAAATTATAATTTAAAATGGCAACTCTTATAATTTAGAATGAAGAAAAGATAAATTTGACCATCAATATAAATATATCATGAAATTTAACATACATGGGAAGAAAAGAAAAAACGTGTATATGGAGACTCAACAAAATGCCATATTCAATTCAAGCAAGAATAGTTGTCCTGATTCTTTTTGTTTTGTTTAGATAAGTAGGGAGGAAAGGAAAAGTAGACAGCATTACTTAGGAGAGAGAAAAAAGGGAAGGAAATGATAGGATTCTTGTTTGGATAACAAGGGAAAGAACAGATATTACCAACCCCTTCATATTGTTTGGGAGAAATTATGAAAAGAAAAGAAAAATATATATATTTTATCGTGCTAGTAGAGAGAGAGAGAGAGAGAGAGAGAGAGAGAGGGAGGGAGGGAGGGAGAGAATCCACTTCTATAAGATAGGGACAAAACATGTTATCACTCATTCCCTTCTCCTTCCCTCCATTTTCTCACACTTGTCAGAGGTAGTAAAAGCACTATTTAGGGGATTAGCAAATCCCTTCTCCCTCATTTTCCTTTCTACCCCTCCTCTTTTTTAAACCAAGCATGAGAATAACATTTCTTCCCTTTTTCTTTCATTTCCTTTCATTCCAACTCCCTCAATCCAAACACACAATGATTATGCACATTTTAGAGGCATATAAGAATAAATATAAGCTATCAAAAGCCAAAGATATAAATTTTAGTAACTTACACCAGTGCGCATTTGATTTAATCCTCCATTACTTCTGACAGTTAAATAGCGATCCCATCCTCCGGCATCTGGTATTGTAAATAATACTCAGAGAGAGAGAGAGATAGAGAACAAGAGAGACATATATAAATGTATAGAGGGAGTGTGTGTGTGTGTGAGAGAGAGAGAGAGGAGAGAGAACTGCATGCACTTTACCAAGTCAACATGTAAAACTTAAAAATATAAGAAATAAAGATCTACTCATAATTCTGAGAATTAGTGGTGAAAAAACTCCACCCAGCACTTAATCGAAGGAAAATATTAGAATTATAGAAGGGATGGTATGCTCTTGTACTACGACAAAAAAAAAAAAGAAAAAAGAAAAAAAAAGTATTGCTCCTACAAAATTATGATTATGCAAAGATAGAAGGGCCCAAATTTCAATGCAAAAAAGATAAAACTATGGGAGAAACCTTTATATTTAGAAGAAGGCTTGACACAAGGATGTAAACCACGGCTGAAAGGTACTTCCCAAAGTTGTTCCTCTGGAATCTGATAAGATGGAAATAAAGTAACAACCCCATTATCCACAAAAATATTAAAATTATCAACTCAAATCATTTGAAAGGGGGAAAATGCCTACTGATGCTTATAGTTAAGGAAAATGCCGATAAATAGCCCATTTTTAGTGCCAAAAAAAATGCAAGAAAAGGCAAAAGAAGCTTGTACCCTTTTTTCGAAAGGTAAAGAAGCTTGCACTTAATTTAATAAATAGTCCTTTGAACATAAAAGAAAAATAGCCCATTTTAATTAGAAAAGTTGCTGGCACCAAAGTAATTTTTGGTTTGAGGTGGTAATGTCAAACAAGGTCTCTGCGTATGTTATAGAAAAACTGTTCCTTTTTCAATCTGTTGTCTCCCTAAAATAGAAAATTCTTCCGGTGTATGGGCTCAAAAGAACTACCAGTAAATGAGAAATTTTCCGGAATTTTGTTTGCACCTTGATCTCCTAATTTGTTTTTGTAACTCTTAAAAGATTAAGTTCCATATTTTCCAATGGAAGAGATCCAATTCCTAAAAATCTCACATTTGTAGATCCCAAAGAATTAAAGGATCAATAAGAGTCTGCAAAATGAATATGCAACTCTAAGGTATAACAACACCAAAAAAGAACTAATCATAGACAAAAATAATGGAGGATGAGATGGGTCTCTAGATGCCTGCCACATGATAACTCATACATAGTTTCGGAACTCAGAATTGGAAGTAGAATATAACCTTTGTATTGGAACAAGTGTTATCAATGAAGTAATGGTGTCTTGGATTAAGACTTAATATATTTTAATTACTTAGTGGTATGTACTTGGATTGCATCAATATTCAATAGTTGCTGACAGCTGAGATGCAAGAAGTAATACTTAAAAAATGTAAGATAATTTATCAGTTTTGAAATTTTACTGATATATATATATATATATATATATATATATATAAACTTTTTTTGGTGCATTGATATTGGTGTTTGAATGTTATTAACTAATAACTAACTGTGGGATTACGTAATGGGAAAATACAACACACCTCTATTTGGATTTTCTTTTACTTACGTCTATCTGGATCGTAGTTAACAATTTAAGAGTTCTTAAACGAGAAAGGGGTCACAACTGGCCAAGTCAAAGTCAAACAGGTCTAGGGCAAATAATATTAGGTTCAACTGAGATTATCACATGATTAAGGAAAAATAAAACGGTCAATCAAAACTCTAATATAATCAGGATGGTTTGAGTTGAGTTAGTTGGTTTACATTGTCTTGTCTGTCTAATGACTTCACCTTAACCCCCCTCCTTCCCCCAAAAAGGATAAACATACAAATGAAGATGTGATTACAAATTCTGCTAAAATTAAGAATCTATGGAGACCAGAGGTTTCTGTTTATCTTCCCATGTATCTCTAATAAATATGAAGATGAAAGAAAGCAGAGATTAAGATCATTTTAAATCTAAAAAATGCTGCAATCAATAGCTTTCTCCCATCTATATATTACAGTGAGCATTATGCAGAAGTAAAATTAAGGGTCAAAGGCAAGGATTAGATATAATTTGCAAGTCAATGGCAAATATTAGATATCATTTGTAAGTCTTCACCGTCAATAAATTTCTTGAGTGAGATATATTAGTGACCCTTTGGCAGTGGAACCTGGAATCGATAATAGGAACTTCAAAAAATTGAAAAAGAGGTTGAGCATTCCCATAAAGATCAACTTCCAACTGGATTTCAACTGATCCCAACAAAACGGAAGACGGCCAACCAACACCACAGTTTGTTTAGACGGAAGACTAGTTTGTTAAAACCCATCTCATGCTTATTAGATGGTCCAAACTTATCACTTAATCCTGAAAACACTATATACAAAGAGAGTAAACCTAATTGGAGCAGTGCACATCAATGTTCTAGTTTAGGAAGAAAACAAATATGTCTCTCCTCTTTGAAGCCCCTAATCAATTATTATACATACTACTATACAAGCATTAACACTCGCATCTCTTTAAGTTTGGTTTATTCCAACCTCTTAAAGAAGGTATGCTGTCTCCAAATTTTTATCCTGAAACATGACATGAATCTAAGGGACCAATGAACAACATTTCCAAGCCAAGACCACTTAGTTCTTCATCCAAGCTTTGTTATATACTGTAATACCAAAAAACTTCAAAATTCCTTGACGATGGTAGTAGCATTCTTGTGCCAAATATCTTTCCAGGAAAAAACCATTTCCCTAGACCCACACGACTCCTTCAGCACAGTCATCAGTTTTACTCATCAAACTTCCCAGAGACCAACTTCATGCTTCGCTAGGCCTCTCTAAATCCTCGCAAACCAATGACTTATGATTGATAGGATTCTTGAAAGGACAAATCAGATAACTCAGATGATTAAAGAGATTACCATCAATTAGAGAACTTTTTCTCACTTAAATGCATCCAAATCCAACCACTTAATATTTTTTTAAGGCTCAAATGTAGAGCATTGACACCAAAGTTGTTCAGAGAAATATCCCAAAGGAAATAACGATGTAGGAAAATGAGAATTAACCGAAATACAGGCTACATGATGATCATGGGATGCCTCAAAATAAAATATACACTGGCACCCTGAGTTGCTTCCTTCTTTCAACAAGAAAATACTCCATGTCATTGGCATATCAAAGACAAGATATAACTCCAAAACTTCTACTGCCACCCCCCACCAGCACAACCCTATCCCACCCCACCCAGAAAAAATATATATATTAAAATTAGTCCCCATGCTTTGACCAATTCATGGAGGGTAATTGTGCCTAAAAGAAGAGAACAGAATTTTGTAGTGACAAAAGACGAGGCTTTACCACAACTTTGCACCTATGTATGTGTGAAAATGTCAACGCATCAAGGTGATCCAAAATTTGAGACACCTTTATATATATGAAGCAAAGATGCATTTTAAGAACAAATATCGGGCTATTATACCCTGGCATAGCTGCAGATGTCTACTGGACAGAAGCAGTGGCACTTCTATAACAAAACTCTTTTGAAAAATAGATTGACTAATCTATCGTTTCTTTTTTCTCTCTTTTCTTTTTCTTTTGAAATGCAAAAAATTAGTTATAGCATGGGTAAAAAGCAGTCCTACTCTATACAAGTTTTAGTGATGTAACTAACAATTTTGGCACCAGTGCTATTAAAGGTCTTTTGGAGCCTAGGCGCGAGGCGCACAATGAGGCGCGCACCTGAGTGAAGTGAGTCGCACAATTGAAAATTTAAACTACCAAAACATTCATATCTCATAAGTCATATCAATATTCTAAAAATTAATATCAAATATAAAAAAGTAAATCTATCAACTAAACAAGCATTCAACAACCATAAAACAGAGCACAAATTTGTTTTCTTGAAAGGCAAAGAAAATTTTGTTTTTTTGAATGGCAAAACAAAGCACAAAAAGAAATAAATCTGTTAAATATATATATATATATGTTAACAAGAAAAGAAAAGAAAACACAGAGCCAAAAAAAAAAGACGCAGAAACTGAAGAAGTAGATGAAGAGAGAGAAAAGAGAAAGAAAGTGTTAAAAGAAAAAAAGGAGAAAAAATAGAGCTCCCCCCCAAAAAAAAGACTTAGAGAGATGAGAACTAGACGAAGAGAGAGATGTAAACAAAGATAAGAAGAGAAGAGTAGAGGACAAGAGAGAGAAGAAGAAGAAAGAACTACCGTGAAACTTTGACTCTTGGGCTTTCTTTTTGTTTATTCTTTTGAACAAAAGTTTCTTCTCTCGTATGCTTGGCCTTTCTTATTTGTTTATTAAGTTGCCAAAAGAACCTTTTCGGCTTAAGAAATAGAATAATCATAGTTTTTTTTTTTTAAATGAGCGAGGCACGCCTGACAAACAAGACGAGGCGCAACCGAGGCGCGTGCCTAGTAAACATCAGTGAGCTTGGGATGACAACAGGAGCTAGACCTGCGCCTCGAGCCTAGGCGCGACTTTAACAACACTAATTGGCACGTATGCATATGGGACAAATAACCAATAGGCACATTGCAATTCATTTTGTTTACACCCAACAGTGAGCCATGTGCTTCTTGCCACTAACTATAGAGAGAGTTATTCAACCAGCCAGATAAGGAATCTACCAGTGAGGGGTAAAATAATCATAACATGTTAGCTGGTCCCTAATTTTTGGTTTTTGACTGTCACGTATTCGATTCTCACTCATTTCTCCAAGAGAAATTTACATCCAATCAACAAACATGTGAGAAGATGACAGCCCAATTCCCAAGGCTTGTTTTGGTTAAATAGAAATTACTGGCAAGGGAAGGAAATTGAAAACTTTTTAACAATTTAGGAGTATGGATAGCAGAAAAAAGAAAATTTTCAAGAAAAGTAATTCTTCAAAACCAATTATCTTTCCCGTAAATGTTTTTTGGCAAAAAACACAGGTTTATTTTGCTTTCTTGGGAAAGTTATGCGAATTTATAATTATGCCCTTTCTTTTTGTATATCTATTATAAAATGTTTTTTTGTGTAACTTTGTAAAGAATGCTATAATGGTTTGTATCATTGTATGTATTTCACTGTCCAAGAAAATTATTTACTTAAATTATTTGATTGTTTTATTTTTTGAAAAGGACCCAGAAAATTATTTACTTGGGAGAAATTTATTTAGACTTGTTATCTTATTTAATAAAAATAAGAACAATTTACATAAACAATAACATCTTCAAATCTCTCACTGTCCAAACTATTTGATGAAATTCTTCTACAACTTTCTAGCAAAATTTCATTCTAACCAAATAGATGTTGGAAAACTTATTTTGCTTTCTTTCAATTCACATCTTATTACCTTAAAGCCTAATGTTTGCATGTTGGAATATTTGAAGAATAAAATCTGAAACACAATCCCTTTCCCCAACAAGTATCAAAACCCAGAGTCACCAAATCAGAACAACCCATTTGAAAATACAACTCCAAAAGCAAAACCCATTTCACCAAATCAGCAAAATGAAATTTTTACAAACACCAAAGCAAAAAGAAGCCTGTTTGTGGCAAAATAGTATACAATACTAGAAATAAAATACAGTTCTCTAAATTACCAAAACAGAAAGGAAAAATATTTTCAACATTGGCTTAAAACTTTAGAAAACATACCTGCTGGGATCGAGATTCTCCTGAAAAGGGTGGCTTTTGTCCATCTTCAAATACATCGTTACTATAGAAGATAAATATAAAAATTGAAAAGCCAGAGAGGAGGATCACGTAGATAATGATCGAATAAGGAGATGGTTTCCTTGGGAGAAACTTGGCTGTTCGGAAGTGGGAAGAAACCCGCTTATTTACCATCTCTCTCAGTCATCAACAGATCCGTGTAGTCTCTCTATTTACTCACTCACTAAATTCAACGTTTAATTGAGGCTGGAGGTATCTTCACCGCTACTAATTCTCCCATCTTCAATTTTATACATGGAGACCGCGACGTAATAAATTACTTTAAATATATACAGTATCTTTTAAAATGCGTTAAGGTCAAAATTTTTTACAGAGTGAAAGTAAAAGAAAATAAAATCAAGTTTCTATTATGCATTTGGTTAGTGGTAAATATATTGAAGAAAATTGTAAGAAAATATTATTTGAATAGTTTGGATAGCATGAAAAAGAAAAGAAATAATTTTACTTACCCAAAATACCGTTATAATTTTAAATAGTAAAAAAATAAATAAATTTATGTTTGATAAATATTATTTATACTTAATTATTTATTTTAGTTAGGAAATAGTGAAATATGGAATAGAATATTATGTGATATCATAATATAATTTTTTTTGTTTTCTCCTCTCTTTATATATATTCACTTGTTCCTGTGTAAACTTGCATTCTCGATCTTTAAGATAAGAAAATTAAGTTTTTGGTAAAGTGGACTATCAAAGTTTAAGTATTTATTTCCTCTTTATGTTAGTTTTAATTTTATTTTTTATTATTTATTTATAAATGATGTAACTGAATACTAATATCTAATTACAACTTTCTCACCGAGAAAATAAAGTCATAAACAGATTATGTAAACTATTTATGAATCATCAATTATTTATTTCAATATAATGTTTGATGTTATGTATGAAACAAATTGTGTTAAGATAATGTAGACTAATTTTTACCTAACACTCTTGTTATCAACAAATAGTTATGTATATATATAATAACTCTTAATCATTATCAATTATAGAAAAAAATATTTTACTTATTTAAGACATTTAAAAAAATGAAAAAAAATAATTCAGTAATAAAAGGAAAAAATTAATTAATTTTGGATGCACATATAAAAAAAATACAAACAATTTAATTAGTAATACATGATTTTATAAAAAAGAAATTTACATAAGAAATAAACTCTCCTTCTCAAAGAAGTCTAAGTAATTAAGTAAAGAAGAAAATAAATAACTAATATGGGTATAATAGGAAAGTAATATACAAAGAAGTATTCAAAACCATAATATATTTTAGATTGCATTGAATTTCAGTTTTTATAAAAACATAATTACAAAATCACAATTCTGAAAGTATTCAAAACGTATTCTTGTCATGTCCCAGCCACTAGAAAATAAATTATTTAGATCCCGTTTGGGGGAGCTTTCTCATATTAAAAGTCCTTTATTGATAAAGTCCTTCGTAAAAAGGAATTTTGTCAGAAGGAATTCATTTTAGCGAACACATTTCTTAAATTTACTTTAACTTTTAGATTATTTTTTCTTGATAATAATATCCTGTATCCATAACAATCATTGCAAGCCTCCAATAAAAAAGTGCGAAGGCAACAGTGGTAGAAGGTGATGGCAATGCTAGTGGTGATGGTCACAAAAAGCAATTGTGATGGTGATGGTGGTGGTGGTGGTGGTGGTGGAAAGTGATGGTTGAGCGTGGTGGTTGTGGAAGGTGGCGGTTGAGCGTGGTGGCAGCAGCAATGGAAATGGTAGTAGTGGATGTGAGGACATGTCCCTTTTTTATTTTCACTATTTTCTTTATCAGTCATTTTCAGGTCTCGGGTCAAGTGGGACCAGATCGGGTCAAGTGTTTGGACATTTTTTGTTAACACTTTGCATTCATTGTTTTGAGATATATGAGTCATATATATTTCATTTGGGACGCTTTAGACATCATATTTTATTTTGGGCCATTCGCGTTATTATTTTCTTATTTTTGGGCCCTTTTGCAATTTTGGCTTTTGTGGGGCACACTCTTGACTTTTGAGCCATGTAGCTAACATATATAAATATATGCTTAGAGGAGAGAGAGATAGGGATTGCAACCAATCGTGGCGCCGGGGGGGGGGGGGGGGGGGCAAGGAACCCTCTCCCCCTTTTCAATTTCTTCTTATTTTCCTTTCTCTTTTGTGTTCTTGGCTTCAAGGGCGATTTCACCTTGCATATGTGAGATTCGTGAGTTGTCGTAGGAAAGTTTTATGACGGGGACACCAAGGGCTTCAAAACCCTTATCTCAGGCATTACAAGTTTTTGGGGCCGAGTTTAGGTTTGGATTTGGAGGCGTCCGTAGGAGACTTTGTCGTTCCCCGTGCCTTCCTTGTTAAACCCTTAAAGTTGTAGTTTGTTTAGAGCATTTTCGTTTTAAAGGTTTTGGGATTTTCATCTCAAATAAGGTAGGGATGTATTGTGTATATAATACTATGATTACTTTGTGTTTAGCGAGTTTGGATTGGGTTATGTGTGTGTGTGTGTGTGTGTGTGTCGATTATGTTAATTCAATGTCATAGTTACTGATTGCATGCCTATTATGATTATTGGAATCTATATTGCGGTAATAGTTGATAACTAAGGTGTTTAGTTGATTTCATGAATTATCTGTGCTAGTATACATGTTATACTTGATTTGAGGTCTTATGGATGACATTGAGTATATGCGTCATATTTGCTTGAGGCTATGTAGGTTCCATTGTGTATAAGTGATGCTTTCGGAGATGTGATTCTAGGTTGCCAAGTAAATTGTTATTGATAAAATGCTCCCATGATTACATAGAATTGATTATGATCATGTATTGCTTTAATTGTTATCATTGCATTTATGAGCATGCCTACTGGCATTGGACTATAGAGCATGATTTGTATCGGAAGCATGAGCTTATGTGCACTTGTGAAGTGCAATTTGGCTATATATTGGTATATACTTGCCTAGTGGATTGTTGTTCACTTTGGGAGATACTCGATGGATAATGCAGTTTTATTCTGTTACTTTAATAATGCGAGGGCTTGGCGTTCGCGGGCGAAACATGAGTCTCCCCAATTTATAGTGGTCACCTATGAAGCACGGACACTCCTCCCAGGGGTCCCGTACTAGTGTCGAACACTTTTCGGACACGGACACTCGTGGTCGAGGCTCGGACACATGTCCGACACTTCTGTGAAGTGTCCAGAAATTATTTTTTATTGGACACGAGGTGGACACGGCTCAGACACGTGGAGGACATGAGGTGGACACAGCTCGGACACGCGGAGGACACGGGATGGACATGGCTCGGACACGCGGGGGACATGGTGAGGTATATTTTGTAATTTTTGTTTAAGATAAATAAGGTACCTAATGTAATTTACTAATTTTATAAGTTTAAAAGTAAAATTTTGGAGGAAAAAAAAAAAAAAAAAAAAAACCCCCTATAGACAACAGAGTATTACACTGAAAATTTCTTTTCTCTTACTTCCTCTCTTAGTCTCTCATCTTCTTCAATTATCTCTGTACATGAACAAGACATTTTTTTTTTAAAGTTACATGAACAAAAGTTTGTGAAAGATTGAAAGTAAATATTGTAATGACTCGGTCATTTTCCTTCCTTTTCTTTTTCTGAAATTTTACGGATAAATTTTTTCCGTTGAATTTTCTTTTCTGAGTATGGTTACTCATCACTTAGTGTCATCTCGAGTGCCTGAAAATGGTTTCTGAGACTCTTTCCTTTGGATTGACAACTTCCTTTAAGAACCGAGTCATTTCCACTTTTTTATTTTTTTGACACTATTCACTTTTCGTCCTTTTCCCGTTTGTCACTTTGTTGGCATAATCTCACTTTCCATGTCCGGAGTTGAGTTTTGACTTCATGAGTTTTCATTCCAGTTGATTTCCTAGAAAGGCGTAGCTTTTCTTTTGGAGAAAAGCTCGTCGGTTGTCTCATTTTTCCGTAGGGGCGTGGATGAAAGGATTCTTCAGAAACATTGATGTTTCTTTCATAAATATCTTTTGAAGATATTTTATTTTGGGGGGTTTTAAGAAAAAAAAATATCTTTGAAGATATTTTCATTTTGGGCAGTTTTGCAGTTATCCCTTTTTGTAGGGGCCATTGTGCAATTAACAAAAGTTATTGCAAAATGCCTCGTTTTGAGCTTGGATCCTCGTACGGGATTCATTTTCACTTTTCGTCAAGTCGTGTACTCTTAGAATTTCCTTCCGGTCATTTTCCTTAGTTTTAGGGATTTCGGCCCCAGTTGCTGTCGAACTTGTTCAGGGTATATCTTCCTGCACAAGACTCGGTTTTTGACGCCATTTTTTTCGTTGTTTATTTATTTTTATTTTTTTTTGCATTTTGGTTCTTTTTTGTTCACGGTGTTTTACCGTTTGAGCGCGTCTGCACGAATTCCACTTTTCGGATCCGGCGGGGCCCTTTCGGGGCACTTTTTGGGCTTTACTATAAATAGGGGGTTATAAAAAAAATTAAAACATTTCCTCTTCTTCTCCAACGTTCCAGCAACTGCCATGGCAGCCCAAAGGGGGCTGCCACCCTTCCTCTCTCAAATTAACCCTCTTTCCCTTTGTAAAATGTTCTAGTGCCTTAGCTTTTATCGAAGGCCTTGGCGAGGCGGACCTTTCCCCTTTATTAGAAGCCAATTTCAACCATTTTTGAGTTCGGGTTTGGATTTTCATGGTGCCTCAAAGGTTAAAGTTGTTTCCCTCGTAATCCCCGACATAACCGAGGAGTATCGTCGGATTCGGAGCGTTTTCGTTTCAGTGGGGATTTGTGATTTCATCACAAAATGAGGTAAGGAATGTTTTAGGTTTATATTTATGTTGTATTGATTATTTTCTAAGCATATACAACTTGTAAGCATGCCTTTGTATTAATTCTAGAATTTAATTTAATTTTTTTTTTTATATAAGATTTAATTCTCATGGTTGTATATAGTTTGGAATTAAATTATGACATTCTATTAAATTAGGCCTTGATATGTTTGTTTACATATATTAAATTGAGAATATTTGAATAAGTATTGAAACTTTTATTTAATCTTTCACTTGTATGAAAGTTTAATTCATATGGTTGTAACTAGCATGAAATCAACTTGTAATGTGATATTAAAATAAGCCTTGGTATGTACATTAACCTATGTTAATTTGAGAGCAATTGAAATTGTTTTAAAATCTAGAGAAAATTAATTAATT